CCTCCCAAAGTGCTGGGATTACAGGCTTGAGCCACCACGCCCGGCCCTCTCTCTGATAATTTTTAACATATCTAAAATCATTCCTGAGCTGTTACATAAAATTAGTTTTTTTAATTGGGTTTTATACTTGCTGATTTTTGTTGGCTTTGTTTCTTAGTGTTTTTATTTCTTCATGTGTGTGGCATTTTTGAGATGGTTATTTTGAGTAGTAAGTTTAGAGTTCTGTTTTCTCTCCTTTCCCTCTTCCATGTTCCCCTTTCTCTATCTAATAGGTTTCCTGTTGCCTCTACCTGTTCCCTCTACTTACCACTTAGGTAAGAATCAGCTATAAAAACAGTGGGTCAGACTGGACATGGTGGCTCACACCTGTAATCTTAGCTCTTTTGGAGGCCGAGGCAGGAGGATTGCTTGAGCCCAGGAGTTGGAAACCAGCCTCTCAAGAGAACCCCCTAACGAGAACCCATCTCTATAAAAAATACCAAAAAAAAAAAAAAAAAAAAAAGGCAGGCATGGTGGTGTACGCCTGTAGTCTCAACTACTTGGGAAGCTGAGGTGGGAGGGATTGCTTGAGTCTAGGAGTTTGAGGTTGCAGTGAGCCTTCAACCTAGGTGACAGAGCAAGACTCTGTCAAAACAAAAACAAAAACAAAACGCCATAAAAACAGTGAGTTAGATTAAGGATATCACAGATCAAATCGGTCAGTAGTTCTTTCATTTCCTGGGTTGGAGGCCTTCTCACAGTCCTCTCCCTTTCTCAGTTCTCTAACTTTCTCAAAATATTAAACTGTCATCAGCAAATTTTATAATCTCTTTGTAGGAGCCAAGGTGACACATCCTCACTCCCGGCCTCAAGCAATGAACTGGTTCCATTCTAATGGAGCACTTTTCTTTTTTATTACTTCATGGAAGCCTGCATCTTGGCTGTCACTGCCTGATTACAGAACCAGAATTGAGTAGGCCCGTAGCTTCAGCCCTCCTTACCATGTTACATTTCTGTTTCGTTTCTGTTCCATAAATCTGTCTTGTGTTAAATCTAGATAATGTCTGTTTGTCTCTCTGTTTTCTGTATTATTGCTTCTACTTTGGAGCAGAACTCCTTCATCAAAGCCTGAATGCGTTACACTATCTGGCCGTTCACTAGCTCCTTTTAAGTTTTGTTCCATTTTTAAATATTAGATCCAGTAAAAAAAAATATATATATATATAGAGAGAGAGAGAGAGAGTTCTAGTAGCTTGTTTATAATATTATGATACAAGTCTAAATTAAAACTTTAGCCTGGATTAGAAAATTACCATTTTGCAGTTCCACATCTAATATTTGTTTCAGGCAAGGATGATGAATGGATGCTAAACTATCAAATGGACAGTTGCTGGGGAATAGAATATTTGTGTGGTACCAAACTGTCATCCCATAGATCATATACTAATTACAAAGGGAAAGATACATTTTAATGGAAAGCTCTCATAGTCACCTCCTTAACCAACTAATCAAACTTAGCTTCACAAATGAGGAGGCAATAATATGGCATTTTATGTGCCTC